GTGGAAGGGGGGGGGGGGGGGGGGGGTGGAATAAAAGATGATGTGAGGTATAGTTTAATGAGAATGCAAACTTACGACACAGAACAATCAAGATATCAAGAGTCAACATATACAGTCTGATATAAAAGATAGATGTCTTAACAAAATGTCAAGTTCGAAACCGCCTCATGTTTAAAAAAATAAACAGTTAATTTTCGCGACTAGTTTAAAAAAAAAGTTCCGATTTATTGTTTATGATTATGTCGAGCAATTCTAAAACTAGGAAAGGAAAGACATTTTTAAGGGTTGCTAAATTAAAACTTGGAAAGTGAACGACGGATGACTAAAATAAAAAAAAGTATTTTTTCATGTAGTTCATTGTGTTTAAGAATGATGATAAATTTTTCAAAATATCTCGTCCATACACGGTTTGAGCAAGCCACACAATTATCTCGTCCGTGGGGAGGGGGAGGGGGGTGGGGGTGGGTTGGGTGTACAGGCACTTTAATCATTTTGGGTAGGGATGAGCAGCTGAGAAATCAAGTACCCCACCTTTTTTATTTATTTGGAATAACAGAAAAACATACCCATTTCCTATTTTTTTTAAACAAAAAATACACCTGTAGCTATCATGATTACTCTATTTCATGGAGAAAGAATAATTTGACAAATATGTTATTCATATCCGACTGTAGTTTAAATTGAATCAATGAAAAATATCGAAATCAGATTAGTTTCAGAAATTTGTAATTTACTCAATAAACTCATAATATATTTCATCTTTATTTCTCAACCTTGCTATATATTTTAAGCTCGAAAAATAGACCTATTCCTGTGGTTCATCGCTACCACAGATTACATAGGAAGTGGCCCCCGAGTCGAACCTACATTACTTGATCCTGAAGATGTTGCATTTAGACTGTTTAAGTACGATTTTATCTATCGAAGTTGACATGCATTGTTGTTTTTCTTTTATTTCTTAAAAAAAAAGAGAATTTAAAAATCAATGGGACTGGATAGAGAGCATTGTAATTATTTTGCATTTGCAGGGCACGTAGCGTAGGCACAGTACCTATTTAAAACTTAAATGAAATTTGCATTAATATACTAAAGAACCTTATGCATCTTGGTCTGTTTAATATGGGAATTGTATATAAACACGATGTTTACAAATATTTACTTATTGTTTTCTAATGGTCTGGTCTTTAAGAATCTATTCCTTGATAGATAAAATATACCAAATATATGTAGCAAACAGTTCTTGTGCAAGACATTCATTAGTCAGTTGTAAATAAGTTCTGTATAGGGTTTAATTAACTCATTTATGAAATAAAACTATTTATTTGGACAATTTAAAGTTTGAAAATATAAATTTACTCCTTAGTTTTATAAAACAACCCCACAATGTTTATTTGGAGCTAAACAATTTTTAATGATTTAACATAAAATCATGTAACTGTCATCTAATCGGTCCGTTTTCGATGCAAATAATTACCTGTCATTTGTATATATCAGCCTGAGTAATAATTAAATATCATTAAAGTTGAATCTGAGTTAGACTCGTCCAAGCTAGGGGAATAAGAATATGCAAGTGGCTTTTCTGTACATTTTCTTGAATTTTTGACTGTTTTTAAGTCAGGAAAAGTCTAATGATAAGTTAATATTGACATTAAAAGACCTCCTCACAAAAAGGGCTCTTAAAATCCCCTCGATCTCCGGGCTCGATGATCTTAACATCACTTTTTGTTCGGGGGTCTTTTAATGTCAATATCAACTTATCATTGAACTTTTACTGTTATATAAAGACAAACTCAAGAAAGAGGTGCGTTTAACGCTATACTATAAATCAGGAAATAAGTATCCTCCATCAAAAAAAAAGAGGAAAAACGGGAAGCAATTACTAATAAAAAATGAAAACAACACTTTATAAATTTCATGCGTTCGAAGCGTTTTTATGTATTTACCGCAATCAGGAATGCTCAAGACGAAATTTTGAAAGACAATGACGTATAAGATCCAAAACCGTTGAAGAGCTATATGACCAAAAAGGACCTTGAAAAATAACAAAATCCATCTAAAGTCTAGTTTGCCTGGTGATTGAAGGACATTTGAAATCTTAAAAATTTATAAATAAACGGACAACCGAATAAATGTCCTTTCACACGATCTTAGTATTTATGTTTGCATTGTTTCGTAGGGAGTACGAGGCTGCATTTAGTAATAAGTAACAGGTGTTTGTCTCCTTTTTATCTGACATGTTATAATTATTTTGTTTCTTCAACAACTTGGTCAATACCTCTCTATCCCAGTGGTCAGTGGTATTGTTCTGATATAAAATATCCTTTCAAACTGATGATATTCATAATATGCTGAATCATTAAAACACTAATATACATCTTCCTAATTGTGAACTTTTCATTTCTATTTAGCAACATTTCAGCAGCGCCTGCATATGGAGCATATATCTCCAAGTGGTTACGATATTTCTGGGTTTCCATTTCTTATCATGATTTCCTTGATAGAGGGTTGCTGCCCACAAGGAAGCTATTAAACTAAAAGTTCCAAGTTGTTAAGTTGTAGTCATGCCGTCTTAAATATTACGGACACCATCACGACCTTTATTTGTTTCGCGGATGATAATGGATATGTTCCAATTACCGTTACCACTATCTCGTCCACTTCCCCTAAATATGACCTACCAAATTAGACTAATAGCAGGGTTTGTACTCACATGAGCAACACGACGGGTGCCATATGTGGAGCAGATTCTGGTTATTATACCGGAGCACCTGAGATCATCCCCGGTATTGGTGGGATTCGTGTTGCTCAGTTTTTAGTTTTCTATGTTGTGTTTTGTGTATCGTTGTTTGTCTTTTGGTCTTTTTTTTCATTTCTTGCCATGGAGTTGTCAGTTTATTTCCGACTTATGAGTTTAAATGTCCCTTCGGTATCTTTCATCTGTCAAAAGATGCAAATTAGAAGATGTCTTATGAATACCATTGAAATAACTATACTCAAAATGATTCAAATGTTGGCAAGTATAGATGTAGATCACCAACAAGGCCTAAAACACTGTGCAAAATCAAGGCCGCATGCTGAGCTTTGTAAGGCCCACAATGACAAAATGACCTTTATGTTCACAACGCTAAACGAAACATAACTATGGGGCCAGCTGAAGCCCGCCTCCGAGTACGGGATTTCTCGGTATGTTGAAGATCCATTGGTGGCCTTGGGCTCTTTGGTCGGGTTGTTGTCTCTTTGACGCATTCTCAATTTTATAATAGTCAACAGCAACCACTGATTTACAGACTCCTGAATACATAATGTGGTGGGGTTAAACATGTTTGCGAGTGCTAAACCCTCCCTTACTTAGGACATTGATGCAACAACACAACATGAGAACAAACTATACAAATCATTTGAAAGGCTTGGCTCATCAGTTCGACACTCAGCACAAACAAAACAACTAGTCTCTGGTGTAGAGTTGTCTCATTGGAAATCGTACCTTTTTTTTTTTTATTTTTATAACACAAGGAATGGGGACATCAAGTACCATCTAAGAGCACACGCAGTAACCGAAAGCTTATTCAAGGCCATTTACAAATAATAAATGAATCAGATTTTTCAGACTAAAATAAATCAGTACACATCTAATAAATTCAGTTTATAGACGTCATCAGCAGTTTTAGAAAAGCATGGCAAACTACAATGACAAAATATATATCGACAGGATATAGGACCGTAAGTATTCAATTCTGTAAAGGAATGAATATTTATTTATATGGTTAATTTATTAATAACGAAGCCAATGTTAGTACCGATAGAAATTAAACGATATATACAAATTGTATTACAGTGTTAAATTGATAACCTTTTAAAATAAGATAGGTCTATATTGGCACAGCAGCTAAAGGCGATGCACAAAAATTAGTAAAAATAGACATTATAGCTGTTCTAGTATTGCATAGATTGCATTAGTTAGATAAGGCGAGACTTTTTGGCATTTTTAGTTTTGAATTATCTTATTTAACTATTGTTATAACATAATGTGGTTTTCCAGGTTTATCCATTCCAGCACTTTATAATGAGTAATATATCGACGAGGAGTTTTATATTCCAAGCAACCTTACTGAATAGTCGTATATTCTTTGTACTGTTGCAGAAGTGTACTAAGTCACCAAATATGAACTTAACCTATGAGGAGAGCTGCGTCTCTTTGGTTATGAGGATTGTATATATACAGAGCAAAATCCGTTCATATATGATATCTCGTATAAAGAGATGCAGAGGTAACATATTGCTTAGTATTTCCAATTCACAATTCAATTTGCACTACGTATTTATTGAACGTGTTTTCATCCAGGAAATTTATCAAAGATTTACCACTGGGCATTAAGCAAGTTTTGATATATCAATTTTTGTTGACGGTTAACCCGTAAAATTTACTCTTCGAGGATTTAGTTGAATTTCCATTGTTATGAAATCAAGTCCTTTCAAATTTTTTGTTCCGAATTCACTACTTTTTTTTAAATTCAGGTTTCATTTTGGTTGTAAAAAGTATGCATTAAAGATTAGGAGAAACGTGTCATTTTAAAAACGTTGACACAAATGATTATATATTGTTTCTAGATATATATATATATGTACTTCTCATAACCATTTTATTATTATTGACAAAAATCTATTATTTGATGTAAATAAAAGAGATTACTTAGGGTTTATTGTTTTAACGATTGTGAATCAGATCTATGGAAAACAATAAACAATGCAGGTTTCTTACACTTTTTTATAATTTTGTTCATTCATTTTTCAGTTTTTGAACACTATAGTTAATTTGAGATAATTATAAAAAATATACAATCTCGTCTTCTTTTATAACATCGATGTAAACATTGGGTAACATTTAAATGCATCGAGAATTATTTTTTTCTTTACATAATGTGTCTGATCATCATACTTGACTTGATATAATAACCATACCAATACAGTTTATCCTTTGTCATGTCGCGGTTCAGAAAAACATTACTACAGCTACCATGCCACCAAGCACCATCTGATTTAGCACAGTTAACACTACTCCTAGTATCATAATCACGCTCCTTTGTGGAGAATTTCATACCGTTGTTGTATGCCATCCCATTACCTAAAACATAAAACACAATCTTATAATGCATCTTTGTACACATAATATTGAGATGTCTATTAGAGGCGACCTAGGGGAATGACTCGGTACATTGACAAATAATATAACCCTATATCATGTTGCGCTGTTTAGGCCCAAATAGTCTTAACTTTTATTTTATTAATTTTCTTGGTTTTGTAGACTTTTTTTATTTATTTCTTTTCATTCTTTATCTACAGCCAGAAAAAAATACCCAAAAAAAATTATTGTGGAAAGCGTTCGATAAAAAAAAACTTATCTGTCCCCAGTATATAAGAAAACCTGAAACATATAAACCTGCATAACATTTTATACGACGGCTTTTAGGGTGAAAGGAAATATAAAACTATATTTATATATAACACATGTACAATGTTTCTGAAAATTTATTTCAAAAGGTAAATTGTATAATTTCAAACAAAATTAAATCAAATGGAAAACGTTTTCAGCAATATTTTACTTAAAGAGCATGTTAACTGATGGAATTTCTGTTGAATCAAAAATTACAGCACAATAAAAAGTGTTCGATATTAATTGATTCGTGCTTTCTTAATTTTATAAAACATAGTTCTATTTATGAATCAATGTTTTAATACCTCTCTGAAGCAATAGTTACATATCTGTGTATATTTCTGTGTGTTCTCATGTATCATATTTGTAATTTTCCTGTATTTTATTTCAATGCATCTACATTAACTGGTTTATTAAATATCAATCAGCATATACACATGGATCCAGAGGTTCAAATTATAATTATTCAAAGTTTCAAAATTAGTTTTTGGTCTCAACGTTGACACTCATGACTGTGTTTGTACCCATTTCAGTACAGTGGCTACAGATTATATTGCATTATATTTATTTTGCAATATAATATTTGAAATGGTATAGGGGTAAATAAATGACAGGAATAGCGAAATTTTTGTATGCTTAAAAAAGGCAACAGTAATGTTACCGATGGTCAAATATCATACATCGTTTAAGGTAGCTGGGGTGACTTCTAACATTTTGGATTGTAAAATAGCAGAAAACAATTGGTCTATATCTTTAATGAAAAGTACAAATTTAGTGAGAATAATGTAATTCATTTATTAGACTTTCAATCTTAATTAAGAACCTTATGAGCTTTATCATATTTTTGCGACTTTTTATTTTTTTTAATTCTTAAAAAAAATGTTTGATTCATTTTTTTGTGTATCTTTGTCATATAAGGGGAGATAACTCATAGAATGTAACTTTTATATAGGAATGTGTTATGCATAAACCTATTTCGTTTTGAGGCAAAAAACGAGTCCCGTGATCCTATTTTTCTTTTTCTGTTCCGAAAGTTAAAATCCGAGATATCTTCTCATATTCTATCTTAAAAGTCTGTGGTGTATTTTTGTTATGACACAAAGTTGTTTTTTTTTTCTCAGAAACAATCTATACAAAATCTGAAAATGTTTCATAAACTTTTGCTTTAACAAGTCCCGTGACACATACTTTTTTCATTATATATTTGAAATGATATGAACTACATTTGGCAACCTATTAAAAGATTGTATCGATTTTAATTTAGACCTTCCATCTACCTTGAGAAGACACATCAAGGTAACAAAGATTATCTTTGTGTTAGCTATGATTTGTTTGATTGGAATTGAGGCCTACTTAACCGAGAATTAAAACATTAAAACACATTAGTGGTAGAAGCTGACGGGTATTGACATTTGGGTATAAGTACAGAATGTTGAGTACCCTAGACATGATACCAGGTATCGAAATGTTTACCGTTTCTATAAGTTTTCAATTTGTTTTTAAATTTAATATAGAAATATGAAAACAAAAGCAAAAAGTAACTGGCTTACTTCGGATTCTCGTTAGCAAATGATTTAAATCATTCATAATGAACAATAATATGAAATATCAGTAATATAAATGATTAATTTGATTCAACAAATAACTGGGTATCAAACACTGATGTTTAAGACATGTAACAAATTATTTGAAGAGTACCAGAGTGATATTAGTTTCCAAGCTATTTAAATAAAATATATCCTTGAATAATGTTTATTGGTGTCTGATTTCTTTGTTTAATATTTTTTTATTTATTTCGTACATATAAAGCAGGAAAAGTTGCGCGGTTCACTCATTTGAAAGAAAAAAAATGCCTGTTTAAATCTTCATTGCAGGAACGTTACTACATTTAGACAAACTTACTTGCAGTTCCACTATGTCCCCCAATAGTAAGCTTGTATTGTGAATTCTCGTCACTAACACTAAATGTCTTGTACAAAGCATACGTCATCTTGTTGTTTGTGTCCGTTAGATCTACTCTTAGTTCATATTTACCATTAGTCGTAATAATGTTTAAAAATTTGTTACCTGTAACGAAATATGACATTGATGTGCTTGTAATTTTAATTTTGCGCATCAACAAATGTATAATGTATACGTTAAATAACCCATAACACACATCTTTGCTTACTTTTACAATTAATAAAAAAAATACGAAAAAAAAATTTGTATATTTAAAGCAAAATGCAGAATACTGTTTTTATCATTTAATCCGGTAAATGGTGAACTGTACGATTTTTCGATAGAACAGTTACTTAGAAAAATTTGTAAACTACTATTACAACTACTACGTGACGTTTTCGGTGTATTTTCGACTCATGAGTTTGAAAGTCACTTTGTTATCTTTTGCCTCTCGTTTACATTGACTGTAGTAAATAGTTTATCTGTGATCCTAAGCCGAATAAAATCTTATGCAACGAACTGTGAATGGTTTAAGGTATTGGTTCAATGAAACTCATTGTATTTCGGATTTTTATCTGCTGCTTCTCGGCTTAACTGGTTGTAAAGTTATTTAGTCTCGTAACCAAAAACAATGAGAGTGGATATCTTGAATTTGAAACGATACCATATTCGTATTGTATATTCAAGTTATATGATACGGTTTTCGTCCTGAAAACATATGTTGTTTTCATAGCTGAAGTTAAGGAACGAAAGAGATCCAAATATTATGAATGAATAGAGAACCATGTATAGACTAAAAAACGGCTGCATTTCACCTTATCGAAAACACTGACCAACGTTGTATCAAGTAAGGTAGCGTGTGTTTTTCTTCTTAAATTTTAGTAACTTATAAATATAGCAAAACATTTCAATTGTCAAAAAATATATATATTTGATTGTACAAATTAAATTAACAACGATACCGAACTCCAAGGAAAATTTTAAACGGAAAGTCCCTTATCAAATGGCAAAATCAAAAGCTCAAACACATAAAAAAAATGGAAAATATCTCCTCTAGCTAAACATTTCTTATGCTATCTTGTTGGTTGTGGACTACAAACCAACAAAACAATAGATAAAAAAAAAAATGATTAGTGTTGATGCATGGAATAAAAAAAAAGTGTAAATTGTTATTGTTACCCTACACAGGAAAAATTGCAACATATGTTTTTCATATGTTTTCAAAACATATGAAAAACATATGATTTTCATATGTTTTTCATATGTTTGTCCCAAACATATGAAAAACATATGTTTACAAACATATGTTTACATATGTTTTGAAACATATGAAAACATATGGAAGCAAACATATGTTTTCATATGTTTTAAAAAAATATGTTTACATATGTTTGTAAACATATGAAAAACATATGATTTTCATATGTTTTCATATGTTTTAAAGGGCATTTAAAAAAAAATGTTTTGAGAAAATGTCAAAATTTGTAATTTGATTATCACATGCATTTTTTCATTCATTATCTATATAGTGTATTATTCAAACAGGAAAGTGCACTTTCTACTCTTCCCACTAAATCCCACATCATCATGATGATAAAAGCATGTCAGCCCTCAGGCTATGTCACCCCCACAGCAGAGCTATCTAATTCTGAATGGAACATAATTTAAAATAAATGAATGAGTTATAAATATTAAATAATGATATGAATAAATATTCTTTATTTAGTTTGTTCTTAATTCTCAATTCTTTTTTTTTATCAATGATAATCCCATTATTCTCTATGATTCTTTATTCCATATTTCTGCTTTTTTAGTATCTGTTCTTTATTTTTTTTTCTCTTTATTTTGCACTTTTTGTCATTATTTTCTATATTCTTAAACCCCAATCTTGATTCCAGACCATCATATATATATACGTAAATGTACGAAAGCTTGCATGGTACTTCGAATACGGAAACCCAGTAATCTTTTCAGCGTTACCGTTTTTTATACTATGACGCAAAATCCATGGACGCTCACGCGATCTACAGTTGTGGTCATTTAAAAAGTTTGAATGGACAGAGATAGATGATACAAAGAACTTTGGTTTTTCAAACTGGTGAATCAAAATTTATTATAAATAGATAAATTGAAATGGGTGACTTGTCGATTAACTGGAAGAAACCGGGGAACGAAACATAGAAAATTTATAGAAAGTCAACGCAACGAAACAGCGAAAGTGTTTTTGTTTTGATGGATAGTTTTACGTACCCTCAAAGCACAACGAAAGGTTAATATTATTATTCACATTTTGTTTAATTATTGGATAAAAGCAGGAATATGTGTGTGCTTTATTTTTCACGAAAAACTATTTGACTGTACATAGTCCGTGTAGATATTTGTAAACCTGAGTCTGAGAACGATATTGTAATATAAATATAATTGAATTGGGTAATCCGTTTCATTATCTATTTATAATGAGAATGTTACAAGATTAAGACACAAATACATCCCAAATAACCATATGATTTGTAAACCCTTTAGACAATAAGACAAACTTTGAAAAGGGGGGGGGGGGGGGGGGGGGTGGACATCATATACTTGATGTAATGTATTGAAATTGTTTATCTAATGTCACTACAGAACTTAATTACTTTAACTGATGCAGACCTGTATAATCGTGTCTTATGGTGTGTGATATTTGTATTTATTTATCAGTTGTTTTAAAACCACGACACTGTGCAGACGACTTTATAATCTCTTTAGCAATTAGTAGCTATTTTACAATTAATAGATAAGGGATCAATTACCCCCCCCCCCCCCCCCTTTTCATTTAATTTAGATTTAAAAAATGTATATATACCTTTTCATACATTGCGTAGGTAATAATGTACATGTAAGCCTTTCCAAATTTTAATTATGAGTGATTCCAGGACATGCTGGAGCGGACAAGAATCACATTCTGGGATTACAGAGAAAATCATCACATTTGATTAAAGCTCAAATCTGAGGCTCAAATTCCTTATGTTATGTTAACTTAAGTCAAAACAAGACTTGCAACTAAGAAAATTACAGGGCTTTGCATATGACAAGTACAATAAGCCTTAATTATCCTGAGTCTGAGACTACTATTACTAAGTACTATAACAATAAACATCTAGTAATTCTCAGCCTTATCATACATGTATTATACTTCTGATAGTTTTCCACACCTATTCACATATTTTTAAGCTGAAAAATATGAGCCAGGCTATTACAGCGGCAGACTTATCACCTTGTACATTATAAGAAGTGGACCCCTAGAGTGCATGAATGGTTTACTTTACATATACTTTAATGTGAATATAAAAATAAGAAGATGTGGTACATGTACATGTATGATTGCCAATGAGAAGAGTCCAATTCTCCACCAGAGATCAAATGACATAGAAGTTAGCAACTATAATAAGTTATGGTACAAGATGACTTCAACAATGAGCAAAGCCCATACCACAAAGTCAGCTATTAAAGACATTTAATGAAAATGACAAATGTAAAACAATGCAAATGAGGAAACTAACAGACTGATACATGTTATAATTTCTAAACAAAACAAGGAACAAATAAACAAATATGATATACAGCAACAAAGTGAACAAACAACAACTTGAACATTACAGGCTCCTGACTTGGGACAGGCACATACAGGATGTGGTGGAGTCAGACTAGTTTATTGGTGCCAAATCTTCCCCTTAAAGGAGCTATAATTTGTTTTAATATGTGTGTGTGTGTGTGTGTGGGGGTCTAGGATGAAATTTGAAAAAAAGGCAGGATGAGACACTTTGCTCAAAAAAAAATGCAGGATGACAATTGATGTAAAACAAAAGTCAGAATAAACTATAAATAAAAAAAAGACAGGACTGAATAGAGTGGAAAAATGGAAATGCAGGACAAACTTTTTCATCCTAACCCCCCCCCCCCCCCCTAAATCAAATGGTAGCTCCCTAACATGGGATAGTGGTGTGAAAAGGCTTAACTCAACTGACATCAGATCTGTACAAAGCAGATTTAACCACTTTGATTTATCACTTCATACAAGTCATATGGATTTAATAAACATAAGATGGATTAGAACATTCAAATAATTTAATACTTTTTGCATAGTTAATTTTTTTTCAGGGCAAGTCTAGATCTGTTGTTCAGACTTCTTGTTTTAAAAGATCAAAATAAGCCAATTTTGTCATATAAAAAATTTTAAGGCAATAAATTTGGCAGATATATAAATATTGTAACTTCATTTTATTATACATTTGTACATGTCATACTTTATTTCTTTTAGCATTTTCAATGAAAGTACATTTTGTACTCCAAGAAGTAGAAGAATCTAAGCAACAGAACAGAATTCATTTGATGCATTGCTTTCTAGATTATATAATGGATTCATAGATTGTCATATTGATTTATATGCATATAAGGAGCAGCAGGCAATAATTATTTTGTGATGAGAGGTATGTATTGTAATGAAAAGGATAACTTTGTTTAAATATTTTGTTTATTCATGTAATATTTATGTATACCAAAGGTTTATTATATATACCAGTAATGTCTTGGATAAATTATTTATACAGGAATTACTTAACTTTGAAATATAAATTCTATGGAAGATAACCAGTAAAGCACTGTTATGGTTACATTTTTTTGTCAGATATTTTTGTAATTCATACCATACATGTAGGTCTATATATCATCATAGGCTTTTATGAGTTAGAAAATAAGTGCTGATCAAATATGTTTACAGGAGTTATGCCTCTTGGAAATAGATATTGTAAGAAAAATTGCATTGCAAGCAATCAACACACGTCTTCATTTCTTTTAGATTATTTATAATTTATGAAAAAGGTTAAAAGAACATACATATTTTTTGCTTTTTGATAGCAAATTTTATACATGTATATCCATCAATTGGCAAGGTACATTGAAAAGCTGTTCTTTTATTAAATGCATGAAGTATGGATGGTAACACAAATGACAACATATTATGTTCATGAGTTAATATTTCCTTGTCGTAAAATAGTATACGCGAAGTACTAACATTGAACTATGGTAACGTTGTAATTCTTAAGTTGTAGTGAATGACGTTATTGTATAGATTTCATAGCTACAACGAC